GATGGCAATAGTCTAAGGGAAGTTACGTATGATAATTTACAGCGATTCAAGAATTCAGAAAAGATGGCAGTAGTCTAAAGGAAGTAACTTATGATAATTTACAGCGATTCAAGAATTCAGAAAAGATGGCAGTAGTCTAAGGGAAGTAACTTATGTAATTTACAGCGATTCAAGAATTCAGAAAAGATGGCAGGAGTCTAAGGGAAGCAACTTATGATAATTTACAGCGATTCAAGAAAACATAAATGCAATAGTCAAAGGGATGTAATTCAGTATCATTTGCAGTGAATCAAGAATTGAGAACGGCTGGCAATAGTCTAAGGGAAGTAACTCAGGATAGTGTATATGTGCTATTTCTGTGAGATGTGGTGGTCGATGTTTTTGATAATACATAATAGTGCTTTGTGGTTTTGTTGTTACTACCCGAGTTTTCGAATGTGAGAGTATGACATTAATTAGAACAACTAGGATTTACATGGCGGGTGTCACCGACGGAACAGACGACGCTTAACCTTCCGGAACACCTTGTTGTATATTGTACTTGTACCTTACAAGGATCTCCATGTCGGTATTTCCTTTGTTCATATCTTGCCCCAAGTTTTATCAGTTTTTATTTCGAATTATTGTTTTGTTAACAATTCTGTATTCTCTTGTTGTTTAAGCGTGATTTTAGGACTTAGAACAACTGGCAATAGTCTTAGAGAGGTTACTCAGTATAATGTAGAGTACAAAGCAGCTGAAAATAGTCAAAAGAAATTAACTTAAGATAAAAGAGCAACTCAGACTTGCAGACCAGTTTTTCAACGCACAATGAGTTCGACCAACAAATGTAGCAAATATATACATGTACATGTATATGACAAATAGACGGGACAACTAATGACATATAAAGCATGCCTTGCATTCACTAGGGAGACGTAACTGGTATTCATTGCAGGAAAAATACCGGGAAACTCAAACTATTTTCAATATAATAAAGAAGTCATTAATTTAAACAATAACATGCACAGTTTTGTACAACCACGATTACCCATCAACAATTTATAGTTTGTTAGGGTTAATATTTTTAGTAAAAAAACCGTTTAAATTTAACAACATCAAGCAAACAAAACGGTTAGAATAACGTATATCGAGACAATTTTAGATAATGTTGACATTAAATCTGAGGATAGTTCGACATAACTAATCAGCATTATATCCGGACAGTTTTTTCTGAAAAATAAAGAATCATTTTCCCCGCATAACTCTTTTTGAAGTAGTAATTCTGAGTAAAACACGCATGTATATGCTGGTATAATTAGTTTCCTGCTCGGTCACATTATATCCAACTCAATTAAACTACCAATAAATAGACAGAAAATCTAACAACAACAAACGGAACACAAAAATTAACAGCCTAACACAACTGATAACACAAAACACATGAATTGACATTTGGAGACAACATAATAAAAACAAACAACAATTTACATGGAAACGACAAAATGGGTCTGATAAAAACAGAATTAATTGTTTGCTAATTAGTAAAGACATACGAACCATTTTAATACATGCGACATAATACTAGCTATTCAAAAATACACAGATCGCGTGGGTATCTCAATTAAACTTAACAGTACTTAGCCGACTAGAGGTAAATCCCTCTAAAAATTGAATAACCTTTACTTAAATGATGATAAATATATTGAATTATTAAGATATGTTATAAATGAATACAGAGAATCAAAGAACAAATCATCACAATTTTCAGATAGAAAAAACAAATTATACCTGTTAGAACAAAAATTTAAAATACTGAATGAAAAAGGTGGTCAAAGTGTAGATAATTCCATGGAAGAGAAAATAGCAGATCTCGAAACGCAGACACGTGAAATTTATGATTCATGGCAAGCGATTCCCGAATCAGAGCGAAAGAAAACTGGATAGAAAAGGGTGAGAGAAATACCATTTGTTTTCTCCAATTAGAAAATAGACGACAGATTAAAACAAAATTAACAAAACTAAAAGACGATGGTGAATCAATACTATATGACACAAAAGGCTCCAGACTCTACTAAAGTAAACCGGCAATGTACAAATGCTGTGGAAAACTTGAAATTAAACAGATCACCTGGTTTGACGATAAACGGATTTTTTTAAGCTCAACACAGGTAAAACAAAACTAAACTGTCCAACTTAAAGAGACAAGGGGCTCTTACATTAATATTAAAAAAGCGATTAAAAATTATTAGAAAATTGGAGACATATCACTCTCCTTAACTGCAGCAGATGTTTAAGCTGAACGTCTACAAAACATACTATCCTCTATAATAAGTACGGATAAACAAGGCCATTTAAACAATAGATACATCGGCTACAATATTCGACGGATACATGATGTTTTTGACTACACAGACCATTGAAATATAGTGGGAGCAATCTTTTCCTAAACTTAGAAAAACCATTGACACATGTGAATGGGATTTTATGTTCAAAACGTTACGTACTTTCGGATTGAAAGACTCCTTTATTTCATGGATAAAACCTTTATATGTTAACTAATCTAGTTGAATGCTAAATAAAGAGTAGAAATTTTAAAGATTCAAACTAGAAAGAGGTAAAAGGTAATATTCTTAACATTATCATCTAACATCATCCTCATCATCATAATTGTCTTACATGATGATCATCATCATCATCATCAGCCATCATTATCCTATGTCATCATTTTCATCTGATATCATAAGCAGACATTACAAAAATTGCCAATGCCATGTACATACATAAAGACATATACACCGTGACACTGATGCAAAAACAATACATATAAACCTATGACATCAAACACACGAGAGCAAAACCAAATAAACTGAAACAGAAAAAAATCAAAATAAAACACAAAACATTAAAGGAGATGATGCGGAGCAATCCTAGGTCATTTTAACTTCAGTGAAGCCTTGCGAATTAAAATGTATGATTTTTTTTATGATTATTATTACAGTGAGGAGACGATAAAGTACAATAGATTGTCATATTAAGTGATACTATAAGTGCATCTATTTGACGATTTCACTCATTGTTATTTATTGATTTATTCTGTTGAGACACAAGGATCTTTTGTGCTTTTAAATCAAATTTCATATGGTTTTTGAGACTAGTCGAATTAAGGTCTATTTAGTTGGTGGTGGTTTTAATCTATATTATCATTTAAGATCCAATTTCTAGGAACAGTAGGTTTAGCATTATTTTTGATTAATACTGAATATGTCTTGTGCTCCTTTACTATTTCTAAGTATTAACTTAAGATTGATAGGTATATTTGGAAAAATAACTGCTTTTTCCTGAAGTAAAAATGTGATATTTTTTTCTCATAAAATGATGCACAGCATTCTTTAGGCCTTGCTATGTCGAAAGATTAGTATCAATGTTATTTTTTTTCCTGAAATTTTTCAAAATGATAGAGTGATCCATCATGTTAAGTAATGTTGTATACAAATTGTACTCCCTTTTTAAACCATGATTTTTTTAATGTTGTTGTTATAAACGATTTTAAATGTTTCATTTTCAGACCACCTTCTTCATAACTTTTAATTATCACATCTCTCTTTATTTTATCTGGATGACCATTCCACAAGAATTCATACAGAATAGTATTATTTTTTCTTATATATGTTTTATCAGGATTTGGTAGTGCTAGAAATAAATGGTTAAACTGTGATATAAGTAGTGTTTTAATAACTGATATTTTACCTATTGGTGTAAGTACTCGTCTACTCCTTGATGCTATAAGAGACTTTAGTTTAAAAACTAGGAAACCTAAACATACTTACCAAAAAGTGTACAAAATAGGACTATAACCGACTTGCATTTAGTCTCGTTCAACCAAAGTCTTGCTACGCTGAACAGAGAATTACAAATGTACAAGTGATCAAGCGTCTGGTTGAACGAGACTAACTTTTGTTGTGATGGTCGTTTTTGATCAGGGTGTCAAAATATTCCTTAAACATAAGAGGCCACTTGTCGACCTTTTTTCTATCGGATATTTATTTGCCGACTGCGACCTCTTATTTCCGAAGCACTCATACTTTGATGCAGATTCCGCCCGAAATCCAGGCAGAACAAAGTCTTCATGAAAAACTCATTTAGGTCGTTAATAGTTCATGACAACGATGTCTATAGCTACTCACGGTTCATATAATGTAGATCCCATGTGTATGCCACAGACACAAATATATGTGTATAATAAGGAACAGAGCACTCAAAATACATGTCCATGTCGTTGTAGCATTCTCTGACCTACTTTCAAAACATGGCTTTCTGGGTTAGTACAAAATAGCAGGGGGAATGGTCCGTTAAATTTAGAAGCCAATAAGCGTCGAGGTCACAAAAGTTATAAAAAGGCTCTATTCAGAAATCCGATCGTCAGCCTGACTAGCTTGAACACTGGACTCGGGTGTTCGACATGATAATGTAAGGGCATGAACTAGCATGTAAGTAAGTGTGTTTCCTATCGTAGAAACACTGTTCCGACATTGAATAGCGGACATGCCGTGTGTTTCCTATCGTAGAAACACTGTACCGACATTGAATAGCGGACATGCCGTTTGTTGTGCGCTACCCACTAGGGATTTAGCGTGCCATCCCGTGGACAGCACAGTGTCCGACCAACTGAAATTCGACCATTTTTCGATGTTTCATGAAGTCTACCGAAAATCATACTGCACGATATATGGCAAATCATACATCAAATTAAAGAAAAAATATTTTTCTGTCGAGCTAGAATGCTCCCGGCGTCATACTATGAACGGTTACTAATCCACGTACTTGCTATTTTAAAGTACGCTTCGCTTAATTAACGTATTTTTTTAGAAACATCATTTCTGTTTCCATGTCAAGTTCCTGCCGGGCTAAAAACATACATGTTTCTTGCATAAGATAAAAATGAGATTGATCCAAAATACAATTTGATGAATGTGAATTTTACATTTATAGATGATATTTTACTTATTCTATTTAGAGAGAAGCGTCAGAGATGAAGTCTTGTACATTAGCCCTGGTTGTACTGGTAACATTGTCGGTGATCCAGCTCACTGTTGCCCGCAAACCGGGTGAGTGCGAAATTTATAACATGTATATATCGGTTAAATGTATTTCAATGAACCTATATGTGAGATTACAGGTATAAGATAACTCATTTCTGTGTCTGTGCTAAACAAAAAGTCCAGACTAACTAGAATGGTAAACTCTGTAAGGAGATCATATCATGGAAATGAAACTAAGGTGTAGACCTCAGTTAAGTTCTAAGTTGGACTTATATGAAATTAAAAACAAAAATCACATTAAAACTAGTTTGAGCACAGAATGTTATTTTCAAGAACTCGCGGCGGATTTTGTTCATGTAATACGTGGTTATGATTTTTTTAATCATATTGATGCACTTGGTTGAATATCGAGCTGTTTGAAACCAACATCATTTGATTGAATTAGTGACGATCTAACTTTATATTGCGCAGTAAGTTCAAGTCTATGGGTGATTTTTTTCGTACCTCAGACAGGGATATCCACCACGTGACACCCCGTGCTAGATTTGTTTATCTCGTCCATTTTGTCTGGCACTTACCTAATATGGCGATATTTTGCGGGTTATCATACAGGAATTTCTTCATCCATGAGCTAACACATTTGCAAGAGATTTACTCGTACGATTGTGTTCTATTATGTTAGTTTATATATATATATATGCTGTTATGTTGCTTACAGCTTCTTGATATTGTAAATAAAAATATAAAATAAAATATGTAAGGACGAACTGCATTGTTTACTCGGAAGCATCCAAACGTTGTTTTATTAGTGAAGAGGCTTTCTTTCTTTTAGACCCCGGACGCAATACCTGCAGACTATAGCGAAATCGGATAGTTCGTTTTTAGATCGAAAGGTGGAAGAACAAAAAATATTACCTGTAACCTTTTTCTCGGGCTAAGCTTCTGTAACATCCTAACCTCGGGTTACGCCTCGGTTGGGATTATGTTACAAAAATCTTAACCCTAGACTGAGATAACCCGGTCACGCTCAGTTACACGTACATGTTTATTTGATTAATATCGTACGAATCAATTCATTTCATGCCTACAAGCACATGTAAATAAAATTAATGTTTGCATCTATATTTTTTGTTACAGTTTGCCTGCTACCCCCTGTTGCTGGTCGCGGTAACCTGGCAAAGACGCGATACTACTGGGACACTGCGGCGTCTCGGTGTCGGAGGTTCACGTTTAAGGGCTTTGGCGGCAATGGGAACAGATTCGTGACGATGTTGGACTGTATGGCTAGTTGTAGAAATTAGCTGATCAGCAACGATGTCCCATGGACCACAGAAGTCAAAATGTCATACAAGACGAACTTCTCCATCTTCTCAACTTTTACTTCAAAACTGTTTTTAGCTTTTCTTGGTGATATCGTCACTTCGACTGTACTGCTATAATAATCATATTCAAAATGTGAATAAACATCTAAATGCCGCTTTGAATCAGAATTGATCTATATTTCTGTTATATTTTGCTAAATGCACTTAACAGTATAATAAATCATTTCTCAGCGCGTCACAGCTCGGGTATTTTATTACAAGATGCAAAAGTTTTTATCTAAAGTTACATATTTAAAACAATTAAACATTAGCACTGTAGAGCTATTCTTGCGATATTATTACGTTCCGTGATAAGCCATTTGACTCTACATCTCTATTTTCGTTATTGTTCTTGACCCTTCAAAATGAAAACAAAAAATTATTGATATAAAACACTTTCTTCGATTGATGTTATGTATAATTTGCTTACTTAACATGTAAATGACGTACGCTTTCCTCGCGTCAAATTTGACTAGATTATAGTTGAACATACATGTAGTCTTTTTTTTCCATTTTGTCAATATATAATACGATAACAAAACGTTGAAAACTTATCAAAAAATACGTTCAGCTGGACCTGTGGTGCTGCATTCTATATTTGATATTATTATTATAAAAGGGGGCAAATATTGTATTACATTTGATGTAAATCATATTGGTTAAGTTTAAGACTAAGTTTGTTTCAATTCCTGTTTTTGTTAAAACACACTTATCTTTATAGTTTATACCAAAATAATGAATATTATTCCACCATATTAGTAATTTCACTGCAAACAGACAGGTGGTCGAGTGGTAAAGGCGTCTGACCGTAGATCAATGAGCACCAAACCCTTCACCATATATTTGCCACTGGGTCGCGGGTTCGAAGCCTACGTGGGTCAGTTACCAGGTACAGGCCGCAGGTCGATGTTTTTTCTCCGGGAACCTCGACTTTCCCCCACCACCAAAACCTGTCACGTCCTTAAATGACCATAGCTGTTAATAGGACGTAAAGTACAAACAAGCCAAATTGCAAAAATAGTTCAAGTTCTAGCCAACGCTTTCACTTTCCAGTAAGCCCAGGGTATAGCTTATCGTAGCTGTGTTACATGCAGCCTATTATCTACACAAAACACCAGCAGACAGCCAGGTACAAAATAACACTATAAAACAAATACTGATGAAACACAACACTATTTATTGCCGTTTCACAGTAGATTACAGGGATGATCACAGAACAAATAAACTCATTATGCAACAGTTAAGGATTATCAAATTAAAGAGGACACCAGTGGCGGATCCAGAGGGGTTTTTGGGGCTTCAGGAACCCCCCACCCCCCCCCCACCCTGAAAATTTTCTTTAAAAATCATGTTTTTTCACCATTTTCCTCATTTTTTCCCCATTTGCACCCCCCCCCCCTGGAAATTTGGAAACCCCCCCAGATAGGTCTCTGGATCCGCCACTGGACACTGTGTATAGAATCATTTCGAGGGGTAAGGGGGCTCCCTTTATCGATCAGAATCATATTATATATATATATATATATAGCTTTTATTAACACATCCTGGTACACTTAATCCGATACAGCGGACAAAAGTACGGAATAGTAAGAAAAAATCCAAGGGAAGCAACTCAGTATAATTTACAGCGATACATTGGACGATCGTCGAAGGGAAGTAACTCAATATAATTTACAGTAAACTACGGTGCCTCCATTGTACAAATCTTATAATAATAAGAATGGGACCAGCACTTATACCTGGGACAAACGTAGATGGTCAGTCTATGAGAGGACATGAACAAGCATTTTTGTTGGAAATACATCTGGAAAATAATGTTGTGTGTCTACGGAGTTTAAATACAACCACCGATTACCCGTCTACACATAATGGACTGTCAGGGTCAATATTGTAGTCTTAAACATCGTTCATCAAAGCCTCCATCAAACAAACAAACGTATACCACACAATCTAGGATCATGTCGACAAAATCTCAAGATAGTTGGACATAACTCAGCAGTTATCGTCTCAGACAATCTTTTTCTCCTGACACATGACGACATCTTTTCCGAATGACTCTGTCTTGGTTAAGTAGCATTTCTGAGCAATACACGCACGCATTTTCTGTTAATTCAATCTCTATAAATTCATAATCAACTTACTTAATAAAATGCCCATGTAAAATTCAGCCATGTTGTTATTCCCTATGTACACAGCTAACGGGAGGCGCCTCCTGCCGAGTCTACAGTTCCTTCAACCATTTCGGTACCCAGTGTAATGTAACACTACCCCAGGACCTTTAAACAAGGGGAGATAAGCAAGTACACATGTAATACAGCTGTATTATTCATTATAAGAACTAAGGGGCTGGTAGCTAGTCTAGCTACCCCAAGCCTCCAATCGCCCCAATTTCTCCGTGTTAAAATGTTAATCTAACAGATACAATAGCTATAATCATTATACATGTAATAACTAGGGGCTGGTAGCTAGTCTAGCTACCCAAGCCTACAATCGCCCCAGTTTAGCCATGTTAAAATGTTAATCTAACAGACACAATAGCTATATTCATTATACATGCAAGAACTAAGGGGCTTGTCAGAAATGTTGGACCGCCTAAATCTGCACCCTCTAGCAGATAGACGTAGAGATGCTCGTCTGACCATGCTTCCTAAAATTGTAAACCAGAAAATCACTATCGTAAAATCAGACTGATTAATCCCTACAGTTAGAAAATCCCGAACAAACCACCAGTTTTCGTATCAAATTCCCCACTCAAAAACCCAGACCAGAAAGGCATCATTCTTCCCTCGAACTATACCCGATTGGAATAAACTCCCACCTGACATTATTTCGAGCCCCACAACGGTATTATTCAAATCAGCCCTATACCGTCACTTTTCAAACGCAAATTAGACCATCTCCTATCTTTTAAAAACACTCTCTTTCCATGTTTCACTCCTCGTCTGACATTTTATCTTCAGATTGTTGAAGTTGGTCAGTACCATTTAGAAGTAGAAGCAGAAGTACCCCAAGCCTCCAATCGCCCCAGTTTCGCCGTGTTAAACAGTTAATCTTACAGACACAATAGCTATATTCATTATCAAACGAACTGCACGTTATAAATGCCGGTATTAGTTATCTTTAGCTACCCTTTTTTTTGTAGATAATTTTCATTTTTTTGTAGCGAACTGATGCAGTAATTGACTCGAATTAGGAAGATATACCTGGTGCAATACTCGAAAGATCCGTAATTTCAAATTCATTTCAAATTCGTTTATATACATTGTATTTGCTTTCAGCTTTCCAGCTCATCGGTTAACATATAACAATATATCAATATGCCTGTCTTCTTACACTACAACTTTCAAGATATATTTATAGATGTATACACATATGATTTGTAAACTGTAACAATAGTTGTAAAGTTGCATTATATTGTATATATCTATGGTGGCTTATTATGATGTTTCGTCTATTCGCTTTGTCGCCCGAGAAATAACGCCAAGCGAATAAACGAAATAACGAAAAGACGAAAACCCGCCAAAGCGAAATAACGAAATAAAGCCAAGCGTAAAAAAACGAAATAACGAAAAGGCGAAAACCCGCCAAAGCGAAATAGCGAAATAAAGCCAAGCGAAAAAACGAAATAAAGAAAAAACGAAAACCCGCCAAAGCGAAATAACGAAATAAAGCCAAGTGAAAAAACGAAATGAAGAAAAGGCGAAAATCCGCAAAAACACTATACATGTACGAGTGATAACATTGTGTTTCTTCGTCATTTGTGATTATAAGTCATTTGTATTTTATCTACAATATTTTAAACAATACAATAAGTCTAACCATAATTATTCATAACTCTTACATTTTCTTCCACTGACTTTATTGTCTCATTTTTAAACACACAACTTGAATAAGTACAGTACATATTGTGTCAATCAATATTCCCCTTTGTTATATTGGCATTGCATTGTATTCAACGATATATTATATGATACTCATTAAACGTTTTTAGTAGCACTTATATGCAACCGCTTGTTATTAAAATACGCGTTTTAGGTTAACTGTTTATTGATACGATACACTGCATTGCTGTACTGCTATAATATATATAGAACAACGATGTATATATCTGTTATTGATCTTATAATGTTGAATATCATTATATTTTTTTTATATTGTGAGCATTTCATTTGCAGAAATGACTGATGGTTTTTATTCATATGTTTCAAAATGGAATACTTTGAGACAGATACACTAAGAGAAAGGAAAGAATTATTCCAATATTTCCATTTATCAGTTATAAGTTAACCACACTACAACTTAATACAAATTATAGAACGCATAATAGTATGTCAATACAGACATTAGCCATTGAGTAACAGATGGTCCCGTGATGGACTGATAACAGAATGTCCTACCAAAATACCAAGTCTGTAAATCAAATCACACTAAATTCCATCTCCTCGTTCTGTAAGTTATCGCGGCAGCGGCCCTCCCAGTCCTCTATCGAGTTACTAATTAGTTACATTATATGTTACACAGAATGGACAACCTATCCATCCCTTTATACACGAGTAGGCTCGTCCATGTAGCGCTACTGACATTCTTTGTTGGGAACACAGGAGGGGTGTTGGGCATCGCGTTGCTGTACCCACACTGTAGTGCAATGATATGTAACCTTTCAACTTTGGACTTATTACTGGAAAATATACGCGTCCCTCTTTGTTCGTGATTCTCAAAAAGGGACGAGAGCTGAGTGGGAACAGTTTTAGGTAAGCAGAATACGTTTTCTTCATGTTTACTACAAACGTTGCCTATTAAACCATCATAAGTATTTTAAGTTTTTCTGAAGATATTATTAGATGAACACATCACCCGCCTTATATCATATACACGTGTAAGCATGAGCTCATTTTGTAAACACACAACATTTGTGTATAGATACGTGTATTATAAAAGATTATTGTCAACGGAAACCTCATACATTGTAAACACACAGCATTTGTGGATAGATACGTGTATTATAAAAGTTTATTGTCAACGGAACCCTCATACATTGTAAACACACAACATTTGTGTATAGATACGGGTATTATAAAAGTTTATTGTCAACGGAAACCGCATAAATTGTAAACACACAACATTTGTGTATAGATACGTGTATTATAAAAGTTTATTGGCAACGGAAACCTCATACATGGTAAACACACAACATTTGTGTATAGATACGTGTATTATAAAAGATTATTGTCAACGGAAACCTCATACATTGTAAACACACAGCATCTGTGTATAGATACGTGTATTATAAAAGTTTATTGTCAACAGAAACCTCATACATTGTAAACACACAGCATTTGTGTATAGATACGTGTATTATTAAAGTTTATTGTCAACGGAAACCTCATACATTGTAAACACACAGCATCTGTGTATAGATACGTGTATTATAAAAGTTTATTGTCAACGGAGACCTCATACATTGTAAACACACAGCATTTGTGGATAGATACGTGTATTATAAAAGTTTATTGTCAACAGAAACCTCATACATTGTAAACACACAGCATTTGTGGATAGATACGTGTATTATAAAAGTTTATTGTCCACGGAAACCTCATACATTGTAAACACACAACATTTGTGTATAGATACGGGTATTATAAAAGTTTATTGTCAACGGAAACCTCATAAATTGTAAACACACAGCATTTGTGTATAGATACGTGTATTATAAAAGATTATTGTCAACGGAAACCTCATACATTGTAAACACTCAACATTTGTGTATAGATACGTGTATTATAAAAGCTTATTGTCAACGGAAACCTCATACATTGTAAACACTCAACATTTGTGTATAGATACGTGTATTATAAAAGCTTATTGTCAACGGAAACCTCATACATTGTAAACACACAGCATTTGTGTATTGTTAACGGAAACCTCACATATTGTAAACACAATACACGTGTATTATGATAGTTTTTTTGTCAACGGAAACCTCACATATTGTAAATACACAACATTCTATCTTACTAACTCACCGTTGTTGACGTCACAATATTTACTGGTGTAACTAGTACTCGCTCCCTGTCAACGGTTATAATATCATAGCGTTGCCACATTGTTCTTTAGTAATTTTATAGTAATTTTCATAACAGTATATTGAGTTATCGATATTCCCTACGTAAACTTTGGTTGAACATTGAGCAATAGTGTCTGTGTGAGTTTCATGGAATACTAAAGTAACATTAAGATAAGTTAATAAACGAATCAATACTTCAAATTTTTAAAGCTTATTTATTTAACAATCTGTTTGAATGAGTTCCGTTTGATTCTTTTCTTCTGTAAATTATATCATTCTCATGAAAAATGGTACACATGGATACAGATCGTGGGCGTGGATCTGTGACACACACCCGAGTTTTTGACAGTCGCTCTCGTAATTTCGTGTTATGTTATCAGGGAAATGGAACAGCAGGCATATCTGCTGCTTCGTCTTTATCCGTCAGACCTCTGGCGCCTATTTACATAATTGAACCAATGGGAACTGAGCTATTGAACTATTTGTATGTCTACTCTCCGATGTGTGTTACACAAGGAATAAAACAATCTGAATCTGAATCTGAGCCCTTAGCTCAATGGTCCACTGACGTTTCAATACAGATCTTATTATGATTATCACTTATTTTAATCAGACAGGCCTTAACAAACAAGCGCTGCTGGAAGCTTAAGCCTTTTCTGTGACCTACTCTCGGCCAGTTACCTCCATACTGAACTTAAAGAAATATCAGTGGGAGGGCAGATATCTGTGATGCAATTTTGTCCTGTAAATATGTGCATTAAAAATATAACATAGCTTTATTAAATGGGACGTCGAGAATGGCAATCAGAAATACAATGTACATTTACTATCTGGTATGGAATAATATATTGTTGATTTTTTCTGAATAGTGACATTTTAATATAAAATTGTGTGCACATTCCCGGGTTTCGCTCACTTTCGTTTTCTGCAGAGAGCGGAAGCGGGCTTTGCCCCTAGGGTAAGCACTTCTAAAGTATCCTTGTTGTGGCTATAATATAGAAAATTGTAGGGATGTCCAGAATGATGGTACATGTATGTATTTCAATTAAATATAGATAACATGCATGTAAGCACAGAGCCAGCAAGGTTGACTGAAAGTTAAACAAAAACAATGTATTATGATTTTACCTAGACACTGTTTAAAACAGGTTATCGCTCAGATGATCCTACTTGATTCTTAAGCTTGTTTTCTTCATAATTAGTTGTAATATGTCCAACGAAAGCACGTCATAGTTGGGGATAAAAAGAAGCTTCAGCACGTCATAGTTGGGGATAAAAGGAAGCTTCAGCACGTCATAGTTGGGGATAAAAGGAAACTTCAGAGTAACGGCTCGGATACTGTATTCGTTATTTGTAATATTCAAGGCAGTGCATGTGCACAAACAGAAATATATCTTCAAATGTCATTTTTAATGAAAATCAACAATATCTTCAAAGGTCAAAGTTCACATTTTTCTTGATACATAATTAGCTGCTTCCATCCATTATTTTTCGCAAGGAAACACTATTAACCTGAGGTAAGTATTATGCACTAACTTGTAAACCTATTTTATCTTTCGTGGCTGTATAAAGGGAGGCAACTCTAGTATACGCTTTATCGTCGAAAATCGTAAAAATCGGGATTAAACATATATCCGCGCCCAATGCGAACTGAGTTAGCGTTAAAATAAAACGAATTTTGTCAAGGTACTGAATAGTTTTGTGAACAACTCTTTTGTATTCTCTGTCCAAGAAATAAATAATATTAACTCATATCCATCAAAATTCTTGCCATACGTGCGTTGATATATCCCATCTGCTCTGCAGTTAAAACCACGCTACATGTGTGCCATTGTAATGGTAATGCAGTGTTAAGAAACTGTACAATTGCACAGCGCAAACTGAATGCAAATGAAAAAAATATTTGTGATTCAATTTCGTTACTTAGTCTTTTCCCATATAGATAAAAGCAGGTGCGCGATTTGTCTGACTATTATACTACTTACTATATTTTTTTTATAGATACGATCAACCATGACTGAGAGCTTGTGGACACGATATCGATGTGTGTTGATCCTGGCTGTCTTGTTTCTGATTGGTGCATTTGCAGTCATTTTGGGCGTGGCTCTAGGCGTGATAGCCAATCAGATTGATGATACTCATGAAGGCGTGGTTCAAAGAGTTTTGGAAGAATATCCACTGATAGACGCGTAAGTATTCACTTTGACGTTTTATTAAGGATGCATGTCCCATCATTTTCAGAGTGTCTTATTTGATAAGCTCACCTGACGAGTACTGAACTATATATAACAGCACTACTGCCGAGGAGTACTCATCTTCGATATCCAGGGGTTACGCTCAATTTCGCTCTCTGCACCCCTGGAATATGTCATAGCAAAATTGAAGGCACGACGATAGCTGTTTGATTGGTCAGAGGTAAAAAAAACACACTGACCAATCGCTAGGCTGATACCTGTCCTTTGAAGAATACAAAGGAGAGACGCCCGACTTCAATGCAAAGTCTGTCAATTTTTACCGTTACCTGACCGCGAGATTCTTTTGATGTACATCAAAGGATCGAACTAGTCTTCTTGTCTCATCAACAAGGTGGCGCACACTGAACCTTCAATATTCCAGGGGTGTAGAGAGCGAAAGTAAGCGTAACCCCTAGATATCGAGGATGAGGAGTAGCTATACTACATCTGCAGCAACGCTGCCGTGGGGTGTGCTCAGCTATACCAGAAGTAGTAATGGTATGGCTTACGGTCAACCGTATATATATATTTATACATTGTAATACTATTAGCCCGAATATTATGAAATATTATTTTTGAGTAATTTTGAGTAAACATCCACTACTGAAAACACCTGTGATAATACCGTTACAGATTGCCAATGTTAAAAAAAAACGTTTTAGATTTTGTTTATTTGTAACAATTTGATGTTTGTAAATATCTGCATCAAACATGTCATGTGATGTGAGATTAATTAAACCCGGTATACTGTTTACCCCAAAATATTAAAATGTTAAAGATAGTATCAGATAACACAATAATGAACCATGGAGACAAAAATTATCAAATACATGAAATTGATCAACTTACAATGTACAAGGGTTAAGTGGTCAGGCCACACCAATTTGGAAATAGTTCTTCGGGAATTACCACTCTTAAAATCTGAAGTCGAGAAAAAAATATAAAACTTTTTATACCTTTCCTAAAAAAGAAATATTCAAATTCCGGATTTTTCGGTCTGCTTTTAACTTTACACATCGCAAATTTGGGTCGCTTTGAGGCTTGAATCACAAGGAAAGTGAAGCATTTTTATGATGCAGCTGACAACCGAGACAGACAGAAAACGTGCCGGTCGTTCAATAAACGTAATAGACTGATAATCCCATAATCCATGGTTAGCACCGCCCACATCTATTGCTGATGGTGTCGTTTTGCATATGTTCTTGTATCGTCGTCGACGCCATGAAACTTGTCACGTTATATATTAAGATGATAAGATTGTACCTTCAGTTTACGAGAACAATGATCATTGATCGAATGTCAATATAGAACGTAAATATTCATGGATGTATTATCATACCAAAGATCACTTTGTTTCTCTTCCAGGCACAACGACTTACCTTGGACCATTCGCCAAAAAACTAAAAATAAAGTCTACTCATTCGATTTTTACGCCGACACACGACAGTTATGGCCAATGACGATAAACCTTACTGACCCATCATTCTCATATATGCCGCCATGTACAGATATACCCAGACTACGAAAGGGCAAGGTCGGAGCACAGGTGAGCAGTTCAAACAAGGATGGCTGATAATGAATATCAAAACCATTGCTAAAAAAAACCCTATGAATTGCATTAATAATACGTAAAAATTACCAGGAAACAAATGATCATTAATGAATTAGAAACAAACTTATATATGTAGTTTAAAATTCCCTACGGTAGGATGTGTTGCAGTCGTTTGTTATTGTTGTAGTTCTGGTCGATCTTTACGTCATGTGAGTCCTCTGGAAAGGATGCCGTTCGGATGGGCTTAGACCAGGTTGATGTCGTCTACAAATTTGTTCGGCGTTACTCAGACGTTTTTGAGCTGGTCAGAACGGCCGACGGTAGGTTGCCATTCGGAACAACTCGCACGCTTTCCCCCAAACAGTTTTCACAGAAAGCAACAGACCGTTGATCCAATATGTAGCATTGAGAACCAGCTTGTGTGATTTGAACAGGTCTCTTAATAAGTTATATTGGACAGAAAACAGACAGACATAAGTTTTTACATTTTGATAAGAGCAGTAGATAGTTTGACACACATTTTAGATTTTGATTGGTACAGTACTTTGTAAGACATGCATTACTACATTGGATAAGGACAGTAATTAGCGTACATTTAAATGTTAACTTTGCAGTTCTTATTTTTAACCCCTGTGGAACCGCTTACAAATTAAAATTCACATAAATGTACTAAGCCAAAGCCTTGACGAAGGTACATGTCTTATACAGGGTTACTCGACGCATTCCGAAGGAATAAGATCGCCAGTGCAATAGGCCTTGAAGGAGGTCACATGATCGGCAACACCCTCGGGGTTCTTCGTATGCACTATGAGTTAGGGACGCGTTACATGACCTTGACCCACAGCTGTGATACTGACTGGTAAGTGACGTAATGTGAAGTTGTTGTCGTAACGTTTCTATGAATGTGATTTAGATTTAGTAATTTTGTGAATAGTTGTGAGAAAATAAACATATGCATTACAACTTTAATGGCTGTTGGATCAGGCATATAAGATATGGAATTTGAATAAATCATAAAGGATATTAAGTAATTTGCATCCATTTTAAATGCTTAAATTTCGACAAAAAACATTGTGTGATAATATTTGCATTATAAGAATTCGAATGTTTAAAATTCTTCTATTTTCAAAACAATGCATTTGGTGAAATATTGTTAATATATAGATATGTCATGAACACAGTGGAGGCTATTGGGGGAATACGTTGCATGCTCTCACTGTTAATTCTATATAGGAAATGGTGCTATATAACGGCCCGGAAGTCTTGTATTGTGTTTGAATTATACATTGTATCTATTTAATTTCACTTCAACGAAACCAACCATTAGCATTTTGATCGGTATGCGCTTTTGTCTCTTCAACTTTGTACATTTGCTATGTTGTGTTGTGCTTTTACAAATCAAAGGAATGGTTTACCAGATGTGTGATCTTAGGTACATTTATATATGATCGCTGTTGCTTTAAGGGCAGACAGTTATTTGGTAGACGTCAATGAAACATCAACACGCGGATTAACAGACTTTGGCAAGGTAATGTAAACTTTCCTACATACATCATTATTTATATTGTTTTGGTAGCCCCGATCCTCTGTTATCGTCAGGATATGTGGATCATACGACGACATGTTTAACAACAGTACATTGCCTCTGTGAGGGGATTACACATTATACCTATGGCTTTCAAAGAATGTAAAATTGTTACGTTCAATGTCGAATAGATTCTGCCTACATGTAGGATGTTTGTACAAGAATAAATATCTAGACATCGTTCAGGGTCTGATGACTGTAACATGATTCGTATGACATTGTATGATGCATGTACGTTAGGAACGGTAATACTTATCTTATTCGTATCTGGTTTTCATAGATTGTTGTCAAGGAGATGAACCGACTGGGAATGATGGTTGACCTCTCTCACGTGTCACATCAGACCATGATCGACGCCATTTTGACGTCGGAAGCGCCAATTATCTTCAGTCACTCCAACGTTTTCACCCTGTGTAATCACTATAGAAACGTACAGGACGACGTCATCGACATGACGGTAGGTCAAGGCCGATACTCAGCTCAAAAGGCCAACTTGAGGATAGCGTTAACATGTTGCATCGATAACATTTTCAAGTTTTCCTTACCGTGTCTCGTTAACTAATATACGACAGACTGTATTCCATAAGGTCGAGGGCAGTATCTGGCTATTTACATTACTTCGTATGTCTGTTTTTGAAGTAAAAGCTATTTAGACTGGTGTACATTGATACCGAACAGCGCTATGTGTGTAATGTAACGGACAAGACCCGGGTTTATTAAAGAGAGGTTTCAAGTCCCGAAAACCTTAAAAATAAAACCGGGATCTGGTGGTGATGTAACTTTCGGCACTCCAATGTGAACAAAATTAAATATCTTTCTTGCCATCGGTTTACCATTCTCCTTAGTATCATTTAGTATCATACAACCAAACAACCATACATGTATTGCCATTGCTATCTTGGTTTGTTTGTGGTTGACGTCCTAATAACAACTATGATCATTTTGTGGCGGTGGAAGAAAGTCGGAGTACCTACCCATGGCCTCGAACCCGCGACTCAGTGGCTAGTGGTAGTAGAATGTCAGACACCTTAACCACTTGGCCAAAGAGGCCCCTTACCAAACATTATCCTTACACCAGATATTTTACAATAATTGTAACAATAGCGGTCGGGAAAGTATCATGCTTGGACAGCAAGAAACAGTACAAACATTCAATTAGCAGTTTATATTTATACTTTATTATTATGAGTGGGTTTTTTATTCAGAAAGAGAATGGAGGAATAATTATGGTGAATTTCTACAACGGTTATCTGAACTGTGACCCCAATCAACAGCAAAACACGACAATTCAAACTGTGGCAGGTAAGTTCATGGTTAGACAGAGCGTTGATCAAAGATATCTTGAAGTTGTTATTACTAGCAGTTTTCATAGTGTGTCATATTGTAACTCTTGGATAGCAAGGTTATTTTCTATAGAACAAGTATAAGTTCACTGGAGAAGGTCATTTTAACTATAATCCTCTCCTGCACAAAAGAAAAAGAAATTGAAATCGTTTTTGTGTACTTTTGTGAATTTTCATAAACAGCAGGATTCATTGTGAAAACAAAAACTTAATTTTAAGAACGTTTACCAGTGATTTTGTTTTAATTGTGATTAACTCCATATTAGTTGAAAGAGAATCGAATTGTCAATATATTGCTTCGTCAAATCAGGATATTTACTTTCATGTATAAACACTAACACGTGTATTATAATGATTGAAAACAACTTAACTTTTGTAAGCCATCACAACATAGCAGATAATTCACTGGCTGTAAAATTAAACCCCAATAACGAACGTATATCACACAGCCAAAGAGACAACTATCTACTAATGTATCAAGTTTACAATGTAAGAACAAAAGAACGATGAACTGTTTATTGTGAGTTATTTCCCGACAGACCATCTGGACTATATCAAGGACAGAATCGGGGCGGACTTTGTGGGGCTTGGTGCAGATTTCGACGGGGTCGAATTGTGAGTTTATCCAAACTTTTATAGAAGTCATCTCCCTTGTTATATCAAAGACGGAAGAATTTTGAAATTACATTATTTTGAAAATTCAACATTTACCTTGCTAAATATTCCCCTTGTTTACTTCATAAAGAGTTATGAATTATTCCAGTGAACATAAAGTGACAAAATATCCAAAATCATAACAAAACTGAACGGTAGGAGTCTTTTATACAACACTAGGTGGTAAATCTTTGTAATATGATATATCACCTTATGCACTGTAAATATTTCTTTAAACATATACAAATGTGATTAGTTAAACAAATCAAATTTTTGTAAAATATGATTGTTTATAACAATGTGAGTATAGTTTTCTCATTCTCTTTCTCCCACAAACATTATTTATGTATGATATATTTTAATCTGCTCAGAGTTGGTAATTGGTTTTGGATTACCAACCAATGGGTTACACCTTCGACGTAATTTCACTGGTTAAACCTTAAAGTATACCATCACGTTATAATTCAAAGCAATAGTCTCTCCGATCAGAAAAAGAAATATTCAACGACGCCAAGCCTATGAAATTGTCGATATAATATGCACGTTAATGGAGAAAAATAGTCCTCACTCTAGTGATGGATGGTTGTCACGTTTTTATAAATCTCATAATTAGTTCACTTGTACACACCAATTAACCTAATTAAACAGTGACTAACTCGAGTTAGATAACAAACTAAACCAAGCGTCACTACTAGTTGTGGGACCTCTTGTATATTAATCCAGGTCTAAAATACAAGGAATGAGGTCACTCGCAATTCTAATGACAGGTCGAATGGTGTTGTATTACATTGCTGATGCCAATAAAGACTTGCATTTTATTATGAATTTATTAGATATGATCTCGTTAAGTAAAAATTCCATGGTTATCAATTGATTGATGTGTGTGATAACCTCAATGTAAATATATACAACTTATGTGGTAATACATTCATTGCGTAAAGTCACTTTTTTATGTTGTGATGTTTTCATTTACGTTAAGGTATCCCATAGACCTAGATGATACGTCTAAGTACCCTAACCTATTGTTGGAGCTCCGCAGAAGGGGCTGGACAGAGGTCGAGCTGAGAAAAGTAGTAGGGGAAAACTTCATCAGGGTGTTCAGGGCAGTCGAGCGGGTGAGTGTCGTCTTGAAGTGAAAGGATTCAGCGCTTAAGTGACCACCTTAATTCCAACAAGGAATTCTTGATTGAACAATTTTATTTCAATAGGTACAATTTATTTGTGTTAGGCAGTACGTATTACAATTAACTCTCTTTGGCTGTTTTGGTAGGATATTAGCTAAGTGTGCTACATGTAAATACATCTATATGGAATTTGTCTGCGTTCAGGTAATACGCACACGGTCTAACGTCACTGTACCCAAATCGGGACACTTTTTAGATAAATATCAATATTCTTTATACAACACTATCAGTTCCAAAAAAATGATTGTTTGTTCATTTTACATAAATAGATACCCTCCACTTTCCATTTCTATCACAATTTGATATTTTGGGCGCGTGGTTCTATAAATGAACGCAAAATACCAGCAGAGTTGCGTAGGCCCTTAAACCGGTGTTACCGTACCCTGGAAGGGACACTTCCGGTATTATGGCGAATATTTTGGGATAAACGGTCAATATCGGCAGAACATATGCATAGTTGAAATATTTTAGAGTCAACGAGGGTTCTGATTTTTCTTCTCAGAACTAGCATTAGTTTTGATAAAATCAACTTTTGAAAATGATATCCAAATAAATAGCGTCCCACGGCACGTAAATCAGGAAAGTCTTGTTTTGGCAATTATTCTCACCTTTAAATTGTCCATGTAACAATAATCAGCAGCCAATCAAGCTTAACACAGTTTAATTGTCATGAAAAGTATTATCAAATGAAAACTGTATACATAAAAGTATTCCTTTGCATTGAATGAAGGCCGTTTTCCCACAAGTGTCCCGATTTGGGTACAGTGACGGTAATGTTTTAATACCCAGACACATCTACAATAAATGACCTATATAGCTATTAATGTTTAAATCCCCTCCCTTTCCCTTTATCGTCAGTTTTGTCTTCAGATAAAAAAAAAATCTAAGAAGTTCTTCGACACCTCAGGCGTGTTGATCCTTATTATGTGCAATATCTTATTTTGGAAATGTTCCCTCACTTTGGAAACTCTGTACAGAAAAATAGAGAAACGGAGTACAATAGACAAATCCTGCAGAACGTATCAAATCATATACACTCCCTTCACAGTTAAACCAGTGTGATATACAGTGCCACGATCGACAATCGATATATCTATCAGTGTAATCCCTCTTATAATGTCTTAAAAGTTCTACGTATCGCATAAACTTGATCATATTTAGAGAGGAAAACGGTCTTCCAATTTCTTTTCATATCTCCTGTGTAATCTGTCTATGGGACATTTTCAGATTCCAAAATTGATCTGCATTACAGTTTGGACCTCCATCCTTTTCTGGTCTCTCCTATTTAGCTACACTTTATGCTCGGCGATATATCTAGATCTCTAGGCACCATGTTCGGGGGTACTTGGCTAATTCGAGGACGGTCCATCCTACACAAAACGAAACCTAGTACAGAGAGCCTTATTGTTTACGACATTAAGGACTTTGTGCATTTTCTATCATTCCCTACGGTATTCCTAAAGGATCGCTCCATAGACAATGACCAAATATAAAATCCATTAACGTAACCTGTGATAACTATAACACGTATCACTGATAGGTTGCCCTCCCAGTAGTCTTAGATCATTCTACACACACGTGTACTTGCTATTTTTGTTAATGTTGACAGGTGCGGGACAATTTGAGGGACCAGCCGCCTTATGAAGACATCATTGCCAGGGAGGACATCCAAGTGGCAGAATGCACAACAAATATCTAGGACATACAGTGTACCTATATTGGTGTACACGTCACTTTGTCCTACTGAATAACGAAAACAAATCCAAACGGGAACAACTTTCCAAGAAGAAGGGAAGAGATGTGCATGTAACAAACATTTTAATGTTACCTCTCCTTACTGTATCTTTATAAATGTTTTTCAAATTTGTGTTAAACCTGGTTGATACAGACAATGTGGATTTATTGGAGCAATCTTGAATATTCTACAGCGTTTATACCAGTATCCTTAGTACATATGATTGGTTGTTATTTAAGGATTAATTCATTAGAAAGGTTTATGGGGATGAGCATCGGTTGCGTCCAGAGCTGGTTTATTTAGGGAGTCGGCAGGGTCTTTATTTGCTCAATTTAATTTTATGCATAGTTACTGTATCAGTGAGTTTATGTATAATGATTAACATGTTTCATACGTGTCAATTATGTGTATTTCTATATAAGTATGCATGTCACTGGTTGTGTGTATGTCCATGTAAGCAATTATATAGATACATTTGTATATATGTTAATATGTATTTGCATACATGTATGTAAATGCGTGAGCATATATACCTGTAATTTACAAGTGTAAGTACATGCATGTAATTAGTTAAGTATATATAAATGTATGTAATTAAATATGTGTTCATACATACATTATGTTACCGGAAATGTATATACATTTATGTAAATAGTGTATGCGTGTGTGGATATATGTAATGTAGGTTTATTTGTGAAGAGGACTATATTACGTATACATGTGTGTATAGTTTATAATCATATTCAACAAAATGAAATTATTTTTTCATATAAAACAACTGTGCTCATTCACTTACATTCAAATCCAACGCAATGATGGTGTTTGTTGTTGAAATAGGGTAAACATTATGGCTGTACGTTTACAATGAAGGCATACACTAGCGGGAATCGAACAGCAGCCTTTTTACTAACTCTTCTTTCCAAAGAAAATGCATTATGTGGTCTGATTACTCGATTATAGGGATCACCTGAACAAAAGCTACAGCTGTGTATAATTGTTGCTAGGAGACGATGTTGGCACCGGGCTAGAACAATTGTGCGGGTTGTGTAGGAGTCCAAGCGTACTAATTAATTTTCTTAGAAGTGAATCCAACAATGTCAAACATGATAAGAAAAGTGTTTTGATTATGTAGTTATAAATATGAATATGGTATATATAACAAACGGGTTGAGTGTATATGTAAGTGTTGTTTCACAACTGTTATGTTAATTGTAATATTATTTGTTAAAAGATGGATATCCGCCGATTTTTGTTTTGGCAATATTTCGATTATTTTAAGATAAAGAATGTCATTCTTCCATTCTCAAAAGAATCTAAACTTCTGTTTCCAAAGAAAAAGAAAACACTTTGGGAGAGGGCCATCCAATTGACTATTCAGTGTCAGTAAAATATGTTCAAATGAAAGAAAATTCGAAATCATTTGTGAATTGGCTGCATGCAGTCGAACTACTGCTGCTGTTTATACCACGTATGTCTTTTAATAGAAAATTTAAACTACATTGGTGTGGACGGATTGTTGTATTGTTTGGTCTAAACAAGGTAAAACATCAGTCCTTGGTTGGCTTATCGCAAGTCGTGATTGATTTTTAAGTGAAATAAACTGCAAATGAAATTCAGAAAAGTACATCAACCATACAACATCTTATCGTTTCAATCGAACATCATTTATACTTCAAATCACACGCATTCAAATGATGGTTGTCTCATAGGTACAATGTACCGATTCCAGGCGGAGAAATTCACGTAGCCTGACATGTCAAGCAAACAGCTTATGGAAAGGTCTGAATGATTGTCCTCTTTTATCGAAGTGAATACGAATTGGTTTCTAGCCACTTGTAATTGGATTTTTTGTTTCGTTTTTGTCAATGTCAACATTTAATCATCATTGCGTCTATCAATATGAGTATTTAAGCATAATTGTACTCGCCATTTAAACATCAGTGTGACTCTTAATGTCAAAATATTAAAATGAAAATAAAGGATCAAATGTTTTTAGAAGATGAATGTTGTTGTATTATTTCATTTAATTTACAAATAACTCTCACATTTTTGTTACAACATCAATGTTTGTATGCGTTCTAAAGATTGACAGCACCGATATATATATATATTTACCACAACTCGTAACGAACAAGAAAAAGACAAAGGGATTGTACAGTTGACTCCTAAAGGAGATATATGTATATGACTTTTGAGTTTAACCTGGATTTCATTTACTCCATCATCGCTTGACCTCAAAATATTTTCTTAAATTGTTTTTTCTCTCTCTTTTATATTGATTTCAGACTTGAGATATCCAAATCCAACAGTAGTGTCAGAATGACAATACTTACATTTAACATGTTTTTAAACATCACAATGTTTATAACTTTAATAATTTTGTTAATCACATCTGTTAATATATTGAACGCGCTATTCTCGAATAGTGTTTTCTTAACAGTAATCAAATTATTCACAAATAGACATTTTTTATCTGTTTACAAATGTTAAGTTCTGCCTAATGTGGCATATTAATGTCACTATTATGTCGCCGATGGTAATCATTATCTTGAACATCTGACAAACTAAATAGCGGGGTTATGGCTGGCATTGCATGACTTCCTGTAGTATTTAATGTGCTTGATGTTTCTAGTTTCAAACAAGTGTCATACCTGGGAAGTTATTTTCAATTTTTCTCGGGATTCGCAATACTCATGATGATTAACACTGTAAAACTGTTTGAAGGAGTTGGTTTGCGATGTTTTGAACATTAAAAGGTACGTTTAAAGTTTATCACTTATCTTTACACTGCCAATCTGGTAAATAATGATCGACATTTATATGTTATTCGTGTAATTAATATGTTCATCTTAAAAGATGTTTCGGACGTTCAACACACTCACATGTATACAGGACCAACGTCTCCATATGCATCAACTTAACATGTGATGCACTAAGGCTAAACTAGGCACCTTCCGTTAACTCATTCACCCCTGAAGACTCATTTGAACTCTTCTAGTTCAAAGGTTGGGATAGTCCATTTTTAAATTTCAGGGGTGAATGAGTTAATGCGAGAGTTACTCCAATAAGGGTATACTATACCTTCTACAATTGATGCATTAACACACGTTGATGCACTAGTGGGGTCTAACAGTACCTATAACGAATTTATCTACAGTGTCTTAAATATATTGTTAACGATCTATTTGAAATATAATTCTGTGATAATTTTATAAAAAATAAATAACCTTGTTCGTAATTCTACATATACACGGCCGGAAATGAAACCGCGGCAGTTTTAGACAGTTCTGATTGATTAACCTCTACACTAGAACAGTCTCCTGCTGGCCCGTGATAATGCACTGTTAAACTTAGGTGTGGACTGCATGTTGACCTCTGTGGTAAGCAAATGTTAATATCAATATATATATTTACATTGTGTTAAAAATAGTACATCGTCAATCTTTGTGGAGTTATTTAAATCCCCACGCGTCCTCGTGATCAGTCATGTTAAACACGACTCTGACTTGTTATAGAAGCCAACTACACGGTTTATGTGCAGCGTCAGAGGTGTCGTGACCAGTAATGATGAATGATGACAAATGTGAATCAGGTAAATATAATTGTTTAAGTACATACACAAAACGAATAACGCTGTATTCAATGTTACTACACATGTATTAGAATTTTTCTCCGTGTCATACGTAGGTAAACTTAGCTTTGTGATGTGAAACAAAACAGTGATAATTAATACAAAAATGTCGATAAAGTATACACTAATATATTGATAATAATAATTTGTATTAGCCTTCGTCACAATGGAATAACTACACGACAACATAAATAAAATATCTGTTTTTTTCTATGTCCCATACACAGTATGTAGGTAAACATGATCTTGTGCAATGCAGCAATAAAGTGATAGGTAACACAAACATGTCGATAAATAGTACACTAATAAATTGATTATTATATTTTGTATGAACCTACGCCATAAGGGAATAACTACGTCTATCACATAGATCCAGCAGGCAACATAGCAAAATAAATACCAATAGTCACTTTAAATCCTCATGACAGCATGCATAACTGTTGTATCATTTCAATCATAAACTAAATAATCTAATAGTAATGTGTGTACTATTAACAAGTAATATAAATGTTGCAATACATTTATTATACATGGATGTGCTGATAGTAATCTACTAATATGCCGATAGTAATGTGTACGCTATGTTGTTGATAAGTACATTTTATAAGTAATATGTTAATATGTACACTGAAATATTAATAAGTAATGACATGTAATACGTTTATATGGAGAGTATGGTATGGCCTTTTCCCGTGTCATATCTGTTATAAGCCCGAAACCCCAATAACAAAACGCCAAGGAAAGACAATATATGTGCATAACGGGCCTACTGTCTCTGATAAGTTTTGCCTTAATAATTTTGATATTGTTCATACAGATACTGAAATACAATTGAAGCTTTGAACGAAAATATTTGGATTGGAATACATTTAAAAAAACTATATTTACGAAATGCATCAAAATTCTTTTCAAAATGAGCTACCGCAACAAGGAATGTGTTTGCGCTGAATGGTCTTCCATACTACATTGAACTATAATGTTAGACGTATTCACTTCCATTCTAAACTACTGTCACTAATAATAAAAAAAGTCTTCATTTAATGTCAAACAGAACTCACTATATATTTGATAGAAGATACCCCTTTGCCGCTGCTTTATCTGTCCTTTCTCGACATTTAGTGGAAGGCGGTTTTTGCTCACTTCTATATACAACGGAGTACCGTATGCAGTAGTGTAGTGTTCGCTTGATACATTGTAGATGTCTATATCGACGTTACAAATAATACTATTCCATTTACTTTGCTCATGACTCTAAATAACATGGTGGGCGAATACCGACACACAATTTATTTCGCTAGCGAAAAATAACAAGACATAATTGAGATATAATGACCAATTTTTTCAGCATTCGTAAGATTAACAAAGTTTCTTCTCGTGACGATGTGACGTTATTTTGGCTATTGTTAGAACAAGCCTAGGCCTGCACGTGCAGTCTGCTCAGTATATACATTTTTTAAATGATTTTTTTTTTTGGCGAGTTTCATTGTATACATAACGTACATGTATCGATGAGAAGAAACTATCACCTTCTCAAATATTACTTGAATGGTTTTAAGGAATAACCAGTATGATTTTTTGGATTATACCGTATGTACATGTATAAACCTGCGCAAAGACAAAATTAAGTTATAGTCAGATGACAACCGCAGTTAGGCACATACTCACTAGAAATACGAATAAATAGAGCACGTATATAGAAAGCCAAAGACAGTAAATATTTTACTACGCCATTAAACCAATCCGTCCCCTTAGGACTCCTTGGCGGTACCATAGATCAAAGATATCACTGAGCTGGCTGTGCTGGGTGGTACCATTGTCATGACCAATATTTGAAATTTATTATAAATTGTATATTAAAGTAAGAGTGACTATGTGTATTATATGTACACAGTATAGGAAAGCCATCTTATGATGTGTATATACAATTATCTATCTTATAAGGAAAGGGCGTTAATAATGTTCATGTAACTTGTGCCCAATCCTTTTGCTTTTTGGCAATATAATAAGTTTAAAATTAAAAATAACTAAAAAATCTAGGTAAAGTTTTCCGCAAAATGTGTAAGATACAGCAAATACAAGGTACGCCTAAAACCTTTATTACGTCAAATATTTCACTGATGACTAAAAAAACGAATTTATATTAAACTACATTGTTGAATTTTCTTGAAGTAAGCTATAGAAGATCTTTGCAATTTCAGCGAATTCAAATCCTCCTGGAAATGTACAGCGCATTCGCGAATACAAAGTCTTTTGATTTACAATGCGGTGATAGACAGACACACCATGACTGTTAATCTGGCAATCATTGAGTGTTGTCTACACATTATAGGGTCTGGTTGGATTGGGCGATGTTAAACCGTCACGTAAACTGATAAAACTCCTCGGTAAAGGTACTTATGTTTCTATCAAAATATTACAATACACCATTACTCTGATGTCGTCACTTCTAATCATACACGACCAGAAGGGGAATCGCCAAGAATAGAACAATTAGCGCTACACACCACTTCCTGTTGACGAGATCTCGCAGTCAGACTACAACAACATATGTTTTTGGTCCCATGATATCACAACTTAGGTTCAGTACCACGACACATTTCGTTTGGCGGAATTTTTGGTTTAGATGTCAAAAGAACTAAAACCAGGCAAAAACGTGGAGTTATAATTCTTCTATAGTATGGTTTTATTGTTAGAATTAGATTTTTCTTGTCGTTGATAGTTTTGAGGGTTTGGAGTGGGTAAGTGGGAGGGATTTGAAGAACAACGCCAATTACAGAAACAATCTACATATATTGATCTATAATTAAAGCATTAGCAGGTGATATTGACTTAGCATAGCCCTGTACTTCAATCCTCCTGTCATTACGTCGAAACAATGAATCTAGTTTATCGCCATCATATTGTTGTACTTTTGTTTTGGGTAAAGAATTCCGTACGTAGCTGTAACATGGGCCAAATCTCTTGCATACCATTCGAGGAATAAAATCAAATTTAACTCTAAAAAGCCTGTTGGTTTCTTTATCACAACAAGACAGTGTGGTTCCCAAAATTTAATTTTAATTCACAAATATGGATATATATACCACACGGAGTCAGACAATTGTTTTACGTTCACGGACAAAAAGTGCCCGAAACACCTTCGTGACTGATATATCAAGCGCCCTTGTGACGCGGATATGATCGAATTGGAGTTTGGTATTCCCCTGATCGCTCGCATATATTTTGAGATTATGATTACAAAGTTAGTATTCTTACTGCAGAATCTATTCTATGTTGGGTTACTGTCGATTAAATCGACCTAGCGAAAGCCAATGTTTCTGTCAGATGAATTTGTGAACACTAAAAGAAATAAATGCTGTTCCGGAGGCGTTTT